AGCATCTACCTAGACACAAATACCCTAATCATCATAAGGAGGAGGATATGTACTTCACTTCCTTGCCCAGCAAGCTATCAGGACACAGCAGATTTGTTCCAAGAGCAAATCACTGGATCAGGCTCCTTTGAACAAAACCTTAGTGTCACACTGACTGGTTTCTGAGCATCACAGCAATTATGACGGCTGCTAGGTGCTCTGCAATAACTATGCAGTTCTAGATATGCCCCAAAAGAATTGCAGACTCTTAAAGGGAAGTTCGTGTGCAAAAAAAGGTGGTATGTGGTGAGATAAGGAGCATCCAAGCTGGGTGGCCATAAAAAGTTTAAAATTGCAATAGAAGCAAAAACTTGAGTGACTAAATCCTATTTAAGCACTATGTTCCACTTAGGATCTGGACTCTAATGCAATTTCAGGAACACCATAAGGAATTAAAATTTCACCCTCTTATCCTTATATTGCTCAACTTAACTTTCTGTTAAGTGATAGTTAAGAAAAGTGCACATATTTTTGAAAAATATTGCTTTATTTGAAAAAGCTGTAAGAAAATATTTTTTGATGACCACTTCAACTAGTCGCTACTACCTTATTCAAAAGTAGAAGCATGCATTCATTTGGGGGCAAAATAGCTTGAATAACCTTCTAAAGTAAAAAAAAACAGAAAAAAAACAAAATAGATTTCAGATTGAAATGTGAGACATAGCCTATATAGGCAATCACAGACTCTTTGTGGGGGGTGGGAGGTGTGGGCATAGTTTCCTTCGGAATGAGGACAGACTACAATTCAGTCTCATTTCACTGGCCACTATTTCTCCATTACTTTATTAGGTACAGGTAGACAAAACATTGTTTTACTTTCTGTTCCATAACACATGACAACAGAGAGGAGATTCAGACTGGGTCTTTAATTTCAAGGCACTGTCCTCAGGTTTTGAAGAGTTAGGGCTTTTTGCTTGTGTTTTTCGGTTGGTTGGTTTGGGTTGTTTTTTTTTTTTGTGGTTTTTTTTTTTTGTTGTTGTTTTTGTTTGTTTGTTTTGTTTTTTTTTTTTGTTTTGTTTTGTTTTAAGTCAACAATTACCTCAAAGTTGCCTTTTATCTATAGATTGCACAAGTTAAATTAAGAATTAAACTCTTCAGACATTGAGTTGTCTTTGTTTTCAACTTTCAGCCCATTACCTATGAACTTTAACTATGGAGTGGGGGGAAACAAGCCCTGAAATGCAATACCTTGTCTTTTCTTTTCCTGGAGATTTAGCATTTTTCTCAACAGGTCTGTTTTCTTGCTTTTTAGACACTCTCATACCTCCAGCTTTGACTGCAAGAAGAAAATACAGTTTTTGTAAAGATATCCACAGAATTACATACGACAATATGTACACTTAGAGGAAAAAAAAAAAATACTTACACTCCGGATAATTCTTAAATATCAAAAGATGATTCCTTGTTAACTCTATGCTTCAAACATACACATACACACAAGTAAGCCAAAGAGATCCAACAACGACTTAAAACTTCTGTGTTGTGCTCAAATCAACTTCCAAATACTACTGTCAAGTATTCAGAGGGGTTTTGGTCACTGCTAACTGTATCAAATCTTAACACCTTATTATGTTAATATGCATTCTTCCCCCATAAACCTCAGATGTAACAGTTTCTATTTTAAATTTTAAAAAGCAAAACAAATAAACCTGAAAGCATTTAAAGGTTTGTTTTCAAACAATGTCACTAACAGCAATGAAGGTTTCATGATTTGCTCAAGGTATTCTACAATAAACCTAATAATGCAGATAAGAACCAGCTGCATACTTATCTTATACCTGTGTTCCAACATGTTTAATTATATTTTATTAAGAAATCTGTCAATCACAAAACCAATTAGCACTAATTAAGTTACAGACGACCTAACAATAACAATTTAAGTTCTGAGGCATGTCAGAAAATTCAATTCTGAATAAAGAACATGTAAAGTTATCAAAAATATCTTGTTGAAAAAAATACTTTTTCTCTGTTCATGAGAGAATTTTAAGTTTTAAAACTGTGAGAGTAAGAAAAAGCAAGCTTAATATGTATTTCTTATTACTTGGAAGAAGTTCCTTCATCTTACAGCAAGGTTCTTAGTCTTATCACGAATAATCAAGAGTAGAGTTTTCAATCTCAAATATCTGGGGCCGGGAGTGAACAGGGAATGGAGAAAAGTTTTAAGGATTACTCAGCTAAGTAGCATGAAAATTATATTTGGCCATTTTGTGTGAAGCAGATGTGTCCATCTGTAACCAAGACGCATTTTCTACCAAATCTGACTACTTACCTTGTATTTCCTGGTTGCAGGTTTAGTTTTAGAAACAAGAATTCTCCTTTAGTCATGTTCAAAACAACTTCACAGTGCTAACGTTCTGCAATATCTAGACTTGGCTTTGCTTTGCTTTTCAAAATTACATACATACAGTTAATTAGACTGCTGTCTACACTGTAAATGAATTGCCTAGCCATCTTACAGCTGCAAATACACTAGAGATCCAGACTGAATCAATTTCTTTTGGGAGTCCAACTGCAAAATGAAAAGCCTCATCTGAAATGGAAGTGTTAATCATTTCTAATTATCTACCACTAAAGAGAATCAAGATTCTAAATACCTCAGCACATAAGCTGTGAAATTCTTCCTTGTCTTTGTAAACAAAAGATAACATGAAAAGCATCTTTAAACAAGAATGACAAAGGATTCAGGAAGAAAACAACCAAACAAACAAAACCAAAACATACCCCAAAACCCCCAGAATATTTCAAAATCTTAGACTGATGTCTTCTTGACATCATGTTCCCTTTATAACAAGTTCATCCAGAACACCAAGTATTCCCAAGTATTCTTCCACACCCTGTTAGGTGCTTACATTTTTTGGCTTTTTAGAAATAAGTCAAACTGCAAACAAGAACTCAACTAAAATTTTGGAAGTCGCTAAAAAAAAAAAACCATAGCTGAACCTAGATCTGTGACTTCTGGTTTAGAACCATCCCTAAGAACCCATGTGCAGGACTGGTGATTTCTAGGTACAAGCATTTTTTAATTTAGCAGGGTGAAGAGATCCAGCCACACAGAGAGGCAAAGACATTTCAACACTATGAAGCTTTACAAGAAGCACAAGGGGGAGCTGGGGTGTTGGGCTGGAAGAAGATACCCAAAATGGGAAATTATTTAGATGTTACGTGGACAATCAGGAATTGTCTACTAGCAACAAGCCCATGGAAGAAAGTTTTTTTATCATGATTAGGAGTATTCCAGACTTACTTCAATCTTTCCACTGACTTGAAAATAGCTGTTAGTAGCAGCTGTCAAACCAGCTCATACACATCCATGGCAGTGAAAGAGTTAAACATGGATACTTCTGAAATGCACCAGAAATATGTTTTGCAATTTGTTTTTTTTTGGTTTTTTTTTTTTTTTCCAAAGCGATTGAGATCTCAAAGTTTTAATATAGAGTTCAATCTTTGATTTTTTTGTAAGTTCCCTGTAAGCCGTGAAACCAATAGTTAAGAACTAAGTACTAGAATTTTTATTAATTTCCATATTTAAAACACCATATATTTTTGAAGAAGGAAGGAACATCCCCCTACTGCCCCCCCAACCCCAAACTGAGAACAAAGGCACTGAGCTCTGTTGAATCCCAAGGTTATTTATGGATACTGTGGTCAGAATAAAGGTGCCCAGCTTCAACCAGCTTTGTTCACTAAGTACATAGCCGAAACAACTTATTCCTGCCATCCCTACTCCTCTGACAGAGATGGTCACCTCCACTGCAGCGACAGACAAGCCTTACCAAGACGCAGTTTAGTTATGCAAATTAAGAAAAACCAGTATCTGCACTAGGTCACTGACTGTAGTGGTTTAAAGGATCTTTCAGGTGCAACTCAGCCATCCCTGCCACACAGACAAAAAACCCAGGAAAGGACTAGAGACAAGTGACGCTGAAAAAACTAATTACATCAAAAAATCATGTAAAAGCATGCTTAAAAAAATAAAAATAAAACTTTCAAGAAAGCAAACCAGATTTTAGGGGTACGATGAGACACAGAAGTTATGCCTTGTGCTCTTCAGGCAGTAACCGCTCCTTACAAAGCACGGCAAGCGAGGGGAACCCTAACCGGCTCAGGCCAAGCGGCAACGGTGGGGCAGCTGCCAAGGCTGAACTACAGCAGCTCTCTACGTGTACACAGTACACGCGGGAGTCCAAGCAAGCGCTACCTCCCTGTTTGGAGACACCAGCGCCACACAATTAACGAACAGGAAAGCGCAGGAGCCGATTACCGTGTGCATTGACGCGTTCTCCAACAAACCGAGGCATGCATTTAAATACTAAGTATTACAACGCTACGAATCCCCCACGACGTGAGGCAGTGGCCAGGGTACCACCGCCGGCCTGTGCTCAGAGGCAGAGGTGAACTCGGAGCCGCTCCGCGGGCCCGACGGCGCCGGCGGGAGGGAAGGGCCGGGCCGCCCGGTGCCCTCCGGGGCCGGCAGCCCCTCAGCCGGGGCGGGGCGGGGCGGGGCAGGTCCGCAGCCCGCCGGTGCGGCAGCGCGGCCCGTCCCGGCCGTTCCGCGGGCAGCACGAGCCGCCATGGCCGAGGGCGGCCGGCTCCGGCACCCCCTCACAGAGCAGACCCGCCAGCCGCCCGCGGCCCGGGGAGCGCCGAGCCGAGCGGAGCCGATCAGCAGCGTCTCTCCCACCGCCGCCCCGCGCAGGGAGCCCGGCCCCGGCCCGGCCCCGGCCCCGGCCCCGGTCCCTACCTGCGGCGGGCAACGGCGAGACGCGCCTCCTCCGCGCCATGGCGGGCTGAGGGGGCCGCGGCACGCACGCGGCAGCGCCCTCGTGCGGGTAGGGGCGGCGCCGGTGAGAGGCGGGGGGCGGCGGCGTGTGGTGAGGGGCGGTGGCGTGTGGTGAGGGGCGGCGGCGTGGGGCGGGACCCGGCGGCGAGGCGGGAAGGCGCTCGGAGCACCGCGGCGGGGGAGCGGGTCGTGACGGGAGCGGAGGCTGTCGCGACTAACCGCGCGTTCTGCGCCAGCAGGCGGGCACGGCGCCGAGCCCCCCGCAACTCCGGGGTGAGGAGGCAGCGCCGGAACAGCGCGGGCTGCGCCGCTGCGGCTTGAGGCCATCGTGCGAGTCGGGCGAAAAGGAGGGAGGGAGTAGCTAAAGGAAGAAAATTGGCCTCATGAGGGGTTACTAATAGCTTGGCTGCTGTCCCATCGCACTCCGGTGGAAACCTCAATCACCTTAGTCAGCCCTCATCCAGGTAGCCCCCTCTATTTTTTTTTTTTTTTTTTTTTGTCATGGTTGTTCATCACAGACTTTTAAAATTACTGCTGTAGACTCTAAGTTCCCTTCAGCTTATTTTACCTTCTGTGGTATTTCACTTAGAATGTTCCTCAGTTGTATGTGTCTCAAGTTTTTAATTGTTGGGTTTGGAATTTTATCATGGCTTCTGTTGATTTGTTGTTTTGTTACTTTTTTTCCCCCCCCTGGGTTTCCTACAGAATCCAAGGTTATGCGTTCAGCTCATGTGTTTTGATGTACTACTTCCTGGGACGGAGAACTTTTGATCCCCCGGGGTGTTGGCCACATCTGACAGAGGGCTAGAGATTGCAGGTGTAGTTCTGTGCTCTAATTTAGGGAAAATCAATTTCTGGGTAGAGAAGTACCTCAGCTGCTAGAACCTCAGTTGAGGGAAAGGCTTTAGTAGGAGTTCAGACCTTGGCAGAGTCTCAGTGCCACAGGATGTCTCATTTGGACCTCATGTCCCCTCAGAACCAAAACCAGTCGGTTACTGGCTGTATATTCCATGGAAACATCCTCTCGTGCATACACAGGTCAAGGAAAAGTCTATTTTAGTCAACGGAGTGAATGCTGACGTAAGTGGTACAGAAGGAAAATTTCATTTATAGTACCAGGTATCATATTACTGCATCTTGTTTTTTGCTATCTTAGTGATAGTATGTATTTCATATGTATGTTATTTTGCTGCACCTGTTAACTACATCCAATGTAAAAAATGAAGTTGCTGTATATTTGGGTATGACTTTGTATCCTGAATGAAGAAATCATTTTCTTCTGGGACAAAAGCTAATATTTTTTTTTTCCCTTGGAGTTTTTACGTGGTACTGCAGCAGAACTTGGCTTTAACTGTCAGTATGAAGTTCAACTATGGATCTGTGGTCCAAATTTTAAGACTGGTGTCTAATGTTGTAATAGTTGTGAACAACCTCCATACTGTTGTGTGAATACACATAACTGTGCGTTTGTCTACTAGGTTTCTATGACCAAAGTCTGGGCAAAAGCTTCTAATTTACACATTTTTGCTCTCTAGAGAAGGCTTGAAAACTTTTTGTTCCACTGATCTGGAGATGCACAAATATTTGAGGAAAACTTTATCTCTACAGTTAATCCTTATTTGTTGTGGGAAGCCATAGTGAAATACAGAAGCTTTACAGAGATGATAGGAGACTTTAAAAAGTCACTTTCCCCCAGCAGTTTTATACAATTGTTTTAGCAGTAGGCTACAGATAGAACTTTTAAGAACTATGTGGTAATTTTTTAATTCAATCAAAACTGTAGAACTTGATTTAGCGAGGTAAATCTTACCCTCTTCAGTCATTAATACTTGCTTGAGACAGAAGTGAAATGTTGATAGTCACATACTTTTTTAAGAAAGAACCCATGAGTTTAACATAAACATCAATGTTTTGCACAACAAAGGCAATTAAAAATTATTTTTTTACCATCCATATTAAAGCCTTGACATATCATCTTGAAAATTTTAAGTTTTCCATTCGTTACATATTAACACAAGCTTTACTTTGTTCTATGTCAGTTATCAAAATGATCCTCCCTTCCATTTTGAAGAACCTGCTAAATACTTGAAAACATTAAAAATATGTCCTGTGTCATGCATGGTACCAACGTCTCTTGGAGGCAGAGTGGGTGCTCACAATGCAGAGGGGTTCACAGTGGTGCCCTCATTCATTTGTTCACTTTCAGTGGATTGTGATGAATTGCAGTCTGTGTGTGCCTGGTTGAGTGGATTTATGGATTACATTACCTAGGTGTAAGTAAAATAACACAAAATGGACACGTAGCTTAAATATCTGTTTATAGTAGTTGAGCATAAAGTTAATAATGTTGCAAAGAACACTATTGCTAAATATCTAAAGCATGGAGAAGACCGATTAGTGAAGGCAACCATATGTTCAGGGATTTTTAAATTGATGTAATTATTCACTAATGCATATATTACGCATCTGACAAAATCTGTAGGAAGTCTGGCTTCACATCTATAAAACTTACCTGTTTCTTCTAGGAAACCTGAGAAGTTCAAGTCCTGGTTCTGATCTGGATGCCAGTTGTTTCACAGAGTACAGGAGAAGAAGAAATGTCCAGGCACTGTGTGATCGTGCTGGAAGGTAAAGGGTAATATTGTTAAGGGGAAGATATGCCTGACTGGCTAATTTTTTGTTATAGACTCAAACTTTTTTGACAGAATGACTAGAAAGAAGACCTTTATCTTCATGTGTTTTATCTACCTAAGTGTCCCTGTTAAAAACAAAATATTACTGGGCAGTGGATTAAGTGAATCAATTCTAAAAGTTAAATGGCAACACACTGAGCTGCATGGAAGCCCTTACACAAATTTCACTATTTCTGTTATATCATAAGAGCAACACTGTTTCCTCAAATGTTAAACATGAGATTTCACTGTATTTTGTTGACGTTGATCATGGCTTTGGACCCTCACCCTCAGAAAAGAGATTAATGGTGGGAAGTGAAGGAAAGCAAAATATTTGTTAGTGTCTTGAAGGTTTTACATGTCATGTGCCACTGAACTCCTTGGAGCTAGCCAGCTGCAAATTACTTGTCATCATACCTATTTTTCGGAACAAGTACACAAAAGCAACATTTTGTATTAGTGACTAGCCGCTAGAGGGCACGTGATATTCAGCAATTAAATGGCAATTCTTTACCAGACATAACTTTCTACTGGACCCAGTTGTAAACAAGAAATGAATCTTTTTCATAGTGGATAGAAACTGATTCAAATTCTCCAGTAATTGCCCTTGGAGTATCAGATTTCCATAACAGTAATGATTACAGGATACTCCTTGGAAGCGTATCAGTAAGCTGGAAAATGGAGGGAGAGACAATGCTCTTATTTGGCTGGTTATCACCTATGGCAGATTGGAGTAGCACTGTAGTAGCACGGAGCTAAAATGTAAGTTTTGTATTTACATAGAGGAATACAAATGAAAGTTAAACAAGAGGAAAATGTTATAATTGATAGTGTTTGCAGAGTGTCATAAAAATTATACAAAGGTGCTAAAATTGAATTATCAGGCTTAGTTTTAGTATACTCATTTTTCTTCTGTTTGAGTTGTTATGATAGTTATGGGGAGATTCATCTTGCGAGCTAGATTACAGTCTTTCCTTATTTAAGTGTATGGGTCAAGGTTGAGGGTAAGTAAACTGCAAGTCTCCTCTCTAGTTGCTGCCCAGTCAGTTTTTTCAAAGGCAGTGTTGTGCAGGCAGAGTGGGTTAGTCCTGTCTTGTGAGATGCTAATCACTCATAAGAAAATGAGGAGGAAAGAGAGACACAAGGATTACTCTCTTCCCCCCATCAAACTACAGAACAGGATCAGCATATACAGGGTAGTAATACATACTATGCTACATAAATAATGTGTTGCAGACTGTGGAAATAGAAGTCTTGGCAAAGCACGTCCTTGTGGTCTTGTTTACATGTTGCATATTTACATGAAAGTGCAGGGGGTGATTTTTCTGTACTGTATTGACAGGGAAACAAAAGTATTTCATATTCTCATGAATGTAACTGTATAGATTAACTGCCACTAGGTGGTGGTCACGAAGCAGAGGATTTTAGCATTTGTAGGCCCAACAGGGCTGGCAAGCTGAAATGAGCTTTCCCAGATCTTCATACCTCCTTTTAACACACAGGCTTTGTCAACTACACAATTTATACCCCTGTGCATCACTAGGACAGTTTCATGCTATTTGAAGAGTATGTTTGTCCCCACAGCAGGTTAGCTGCCATAGGGACAGTTTGTCCTATAGCCCTATAGTTTACAGTCAGACAGCTTATCCCTCTAGCACTATAGCAGGATAGTGCTACTTGCACAACACCTTCTGTGCCATAAGACCATAAAGCCTGTTTGGTCTAACTTGTTAACTGCTACTATATCTAGCACATTATTCTAAAACCATTTAGATTAGTGGAAAGTAATCACTGCGGCAAAAAAAAATTGCATGGCAGCAAGATTTGCAAAAAATAGATGGAAACACCTAGTGAGCATTTTCAGAGTGACTTGCTTTTTTGTGCAATTTGTTAAGACAGTAGGCTCAGTTGAAGACTATATTCTTAGGTTTCAGGTTTGGTTTCAAATATGGGTCATTTTCAACCTTGTTTAAACAAGCGGACTTAGAAGTTTACTTGTGTTGTATGGGAAAAGTTTAAAGTAACAGCTGAGAGTGGGTTTGCTTAGTCTTTTTTACAAGCTTCATTGTCAAAATTTGTAACTGGTAAACAGTTGAACAGGATGGATATTGCAGAGAGTTACAGTCAGGTGAAAGGAGTAAGGTTATAACAGAATTTCCTTTGTAGCCCTTAGTAAATCTGGTATAAGCAGGGTTTAACATACCTATAAATTTTTTTTTTTTTTTCTTAGCTTCCAATATTTGCATGTTTGACAATATCAGCAAGCTAGATGATTTCAAACTAAACGCCTTTTTGACAATTGAAGAATGGCCTTATCCCTGTTTCATGATATGAGTTTATAATTGTGTGCAATATTTTAAATTAGATAAATCATCTTCTAAAACAACATAGTATCATCTCTGGATGAGTGCCAGCTTTAAATAGGATCTGGGTTAATAGGACTGCTGGGGAATTTATAGCCAAACTGAAGGAATGTGTATTTTATTCCCTTATAAAGAATTTCTATACAGGGATTGATTTTGGGGCAGAGAGGAGATTGTCAACAGTAATAATTCACCATTTCATGTGATATGATGATCTATTTCCTTTATCTCTCTGGCCATTCTAGGGACGCACTGGCAGATTCTGGATTCACTTAACTATTTGAATAATTTTAGGATGTAGTCAAATGAACTGTGCTACAATGCACTGACCTGGTTATAAGCCTTTTGTAATGAGCTGGAGATCTTTTGTATTTAGTTGTAGGGAAGATCAATCTCTTCTCATAGTGTGTGATTACTTTGTGCTGATGGACAGGTAGATAATTCATTTCACACTATTCCTAGTCAAGAAAAATGAACCCACATATGACTTTAAGAACTAGCTGGAAACTACCCCATTAAATATCCTGTTGCTTGTGCTACTCTTTTACATGTAATTCATACAAAGTAGAACAGACTACAAGGTGATATTTACTATAAAATAATGGTATGTGTAAAGATATTTACTAATATTTAGGGTGCCTTGAAGTAGTAAGGAGATATGGTGCCTGAGATTATTGGCCTGCTCTAGGACTTGGATGGCTCAGCTGCATGGCTAAGGTGTGTGAACCAGCTGGCCCTGACAAGCTGATTCAGCCCTTTGGATGTCTGTGGAAACACTACCGCTGTAGTCTCCCAAAGGGAATGCCTGCTTTGCTTTTTACAGCACTATCAATCTCTCTTGGCAAGACAAAAAAAAAAGTTGAACTTTGTTTCTTCCTGTGGCAGGATAGTGCTCTTTGCACAGAGTGCCTGCAGGCAGTCAGACCAGACAGCTGTTGTGACCTTACTTGATATTAGCCGCTGCCACACCCATTACATTCTTTTAGAACCACTTTTATTCCCTAGACTAACCACAGAAACAGGAACTTTCTATTTTTGTGATTTAATAGCGTACCTTCCCAGTGAACACTGCCTTAATGTGTACTTTTTCTGGCCTGTGTTCAGAAGGGGTGTGATCCACACCTGAAATTTCATCTGTCCATGTTAACTAGTCTGCCCTCACTCTGTGGTGGCACTCCCTGTATCTTTAAATAATGTGTAGGCGTTGAATCAACTTTTCATGCGGTTTGAGCAGAAAGAAAATGCTTTGAACATTATAAAGAGATCCAAACCCTTAATATTATGTATGAATGCCCATGTTCAACAATGGAATGGGCAGTTATATATGATGGTATCTCTGAAGAAGCTGTTGAATTCTCTTTCTAAAACTCCATATAGTATTCCTGTTCTGATACTTTTTCTTGTCCTCACATCTCCCTCAAGAACTTTCTTACAGATGTGATTAATTCCTCACTTTTATTTTTCAACTTCTCTCCATCTTTTTTTTTTTTTTTTTTTTTTTTTAAAACTCACTAGGTTCCACGGACAAGGGAAACTTGTCTTGTTTGCTTGCATGAGCCAACATGTCACTGAAGGTTTAATGTGCAGATTCATAGTATTCTCATTGGTAAAGTATGTTAGCACAGGTCATCATCAACATCATTCTTTGAATTACTAAATCCTTTTGCTATGGGGAAAGAGCCAATTTTAAAATATTTACAGTGACAGATTTCACAGTGGAAGAGCAAATGTTTAGTTTTCTGCTCTGTGTGTAGGCTTAACCCTCCCCCTAATAGTTGCATTGATGGAGCTGTGAGTGCCATTTAGTTTCCTAGGGTAACACTGCTGCTGGTGACTGGCAGGTTTTCACTGTTCTTCGTAAGACCTTCTGTTAACACACCGATGGATCTCTGAATCCAAAAACGTCCGTTGTGTTAGTGATTAGCTTGTGTGAACTGATGGAAGTCTACCGTAGGAATTACAGGTAGTCTACACATAAGCTATGACATGTAAGGCTTTCATGTGGCATACAGACTTTTTCCCAGTTTATCTTCAGTAACTAATGAAAAAAAAAAAAAATCTCTGTATGAAAGCGCTGCGGGACTCATTTCAATAGAAATAGGGATAAAAACCTGATCTTTTTGTCCATGATACTACTTTTTAATTGTTTTCTAAAATTTGTATGAAGTTTTGTATAAATGCATGTTACAGCCTGAGGACATATGTGTCCTATCTGGGATATACACAAGTTGCCTTTAAATTCGCTATTGTGAGCACATCTAGGAATAAAAAGCTCAATTAACAGCCTGAGTAATTACACAGCTTCTTGGATAGATTTTGCAGCCTCCACTGAGTTCCATACTACTGAAGGTACACATTTAACAATAAAGTAAACTAAAGCTTTACTTCCCACAGTGTGCCACTTGAGCCTTTGGGGTTATTGAATGCATATGAACTGTTTTAGAGAAGTTGTTGTCTTTACAGTGTTTCCAGTTACACATATGAGGAGACAGACTGACATGCAATACAAGATACCAACACATAACTGTAACCCATTTTCCTACTCCTTCATTGAGTGTAAGACACACATACAACAGTCCAATGTACCTGTGTT